AGTGGGCAGGGGCTCGGGCTTTGCTCTGAGGTGATGAAGGTGAGCCAACCGGACGCATCTGTGAATCTACTACGAATAGTTGAATTACACACCTTAAACGGGTAAAGTATATTCAATAAATCTGTTAAAAATTAAAAATAAAAAGACAAACAAGAACGATTGATAAACAACTACATAAGACTATTTATAAAAAACGCACATGAAAAGCAAAACTAAAAAGTAGGAGACAAAGTAGGAAACACCTGCCACGGGTGTGAAGAGTATGCGTGCCCCCAGCTTACAGGCCTCCAGGAAGGAAATGGGCAGGACAGGTGTACAGCAAGATCAGCAAAAAAGACCCACCAAAGAAGGAAGTTCCACCATGCAGAATCAGAGTGGGCGAAGTGCTTTCTAAAGCTACCAATGAAGGGGTGAGAAAGGACAGGGGACAGTCTTTCTCTTATCATCAAGGATCTGACAAAGGATGGATGGCAATGAGCACCAGAGGGAGGCCCACAGTGGGCCAAGCATGTGGATGAGGGCGGCTGGGTGCTGTCTGCAGGGTACTACCCCGCAGAGCAACGGACAGAATTCAGAAGTGTACCTAAAGTTTGGTCTGATGCTGCTCCCTACAGTGTCCCCCAGATGGCCAAGGCTGGATTGCCCTGGCCACCTCCTTCTACTGGGACTTGGGAGACAGTTTAAGACAGGTCTTCCAGTGAGGGCTGGGCAAGGGCCAGATTGAGGCCAAGAGTCCCTAGCCTGGGGTGTCCATCAACGGCTTCTAGTGAAGACAGTAAATCATAGTTCTTTGCTACTTCCTGGAAGCCTCCTGGAAGTGTTGAGCTATGACCATGAGGACCCCAGGAGGAAAAAGTCATGACCTCATGGCCAATGACACAGGGGAGCTGGTTCCAGTTCCAATGTGACTAACTGAGTACCTTCTAGAAACATCCCACCAGCACCTGGCTGAAGGGTGCAAAGAATGGGTGTAGAGCTGACACTTGCTGCTGCTGTTTCAGTGTGAAACCACTCGTGCCCAAAGCCCAGAGTCCCAAGGCACTCGCGCAGGAGGGCACGTGTACGTCAGCGTCCTTCTAGAAGGACACAGGAGAAACAGGTGCAGCAGCCTCTTTCCAAGCAGCACCCTCTATGTTGTGTGTGCACCCACTTCATTTGTGAAGTAGAAACATTGGCTTAGGAGTCATTCGTCTGCTCTGGGTGCCCCTCACGTGGCACAGCACGGCTAGAGCTCAGGTAGGGATATCTTGGCCTTCCTGGGGTCAGCAGAGACTGGTCACAGGAGGAGGGCACCCAGATGCAGGCTGAGGCTGGCACATGGGCAGATGGAGCAGCAGCACTGCTCTGGATTGAGGATGAGGAGGCCAACATAAACCTTATGTCCCCTCACACAGCCACGAGGGGGACAATGCCAGCTTCCATGGGGACTCTGTGCTTTTCAAGAATGGTGTGAGTCCTTCCCAAAGGTTGTAATGAGAAAGTGCCCCTGGCTTGGCCAGCACTCCATGGGGGACTCGGGGACTCCTCCATAAAGCAGGGGTAACTCACAGGGTACATAGACCCCAGGGAGATGGGGTGAGAGAATAAAGGAGGAACCACAGAGCACAGGGCAGAAGAGGGAGGCCAAGGCAGGGCTACCTGGATTCAGGGGAGGACATCCATCCCTTCCTCCCTCCAGAGCCCATCCTGGGCTCAGGGGCTACACCAATGCTCCCTTTCCTAGGGCTCTGCTAGTGATTTCCATCTCTAAAGGCAGAGATAGGAATCAGGAAAGGCACCTCCCTTCTGGTGGACATCATAGGGGTCACCTCCATTCACTCTGAAGTCAGTGAGCTGTTTCAGGAGTCTCGAAGGAGTCAAATGCAGCCGAAAATCCAGGTCAGGTCTCAGGCTGATCTGACCTCTCAAGGTCCCACCAGCTTGAGGTAGTTGACACATGCATAGTCAAATCAGCTCCCCAGATCACCCCCGGATGGAGTGGCCACTGAAGGTAAGGTTTTGGGGATGGACTTGCACTTTCACTAGGAGGGCAGGAAAGAAGGAGACAGTGCTGAGGCTGGGCTGCCTGTAGTGAACACGAATGCCTGAAGACAGATTAAGAACTAGGGCTTTATTGTTTGGCCAAGGTGCAGCCAGGGTGAGGAGTGCCTGCTGGTGGTGGAAAAGGAAAATAAAGATGGAAGGCCCAGAAGGGCTGACTTGCAGGTCGAGGGGGCCATGCGCGAAGGATCGGGGCAGATAGACACAGAGAATAGCTACAGGGGTGCCAGATCTACAACCACAAGGATCTGCATTGCCAGCACCCAAAAAGCTTGGATGCAGATTCCTCCCCAGGTAAGAGTCCAGCTCAGCCCACACCTTGATTTCGGGCTGTGAGACTCAGCAGTGGAGTCCAGCCAAACCCACAGGGCCAGGAAGTACCAAGCTAAGAATGGGTCTTACTAAACTTCTTGGTGCTGGGGAATTCATCACAGGGCAATAGGAGCACAGGCAGCTGGCAAGTTCTGATGAAGAGAGACCAGTAGGGAAGAACATAGAGGGGGAAGAGGTCACATGGCAAGGAGCTCAGGTGGCCTCCACCAACAGACAGCCAAGAGGATCCCTGCAGCCCTACACAAGGTTGGAAATGGCTTCTTTCCCAGCTAAGCCTCAAGATGGCTGTGGCCCAGCCAACACGAGGGTCTCAAAGCAACTTGAAACAACAAATGTGGGTGATCATGGGACACTAACTGACCATAGGACATTTGATGATGGTGAGACTTGGAATGATCAAGGACACTGGATGACCCCTGGGTGTCATGGACACCGAAGACCATGTGCCTGCACCCATTCCACACTGGGCACTGTCAGGAAGAAGAGTCATGGAAGCAGGAGGTGGCTCCTTCATATGTCTGCCTCACATCACCTGACACCAGAGTTGAACCTGACCCTGACTAGAAGACAGGGGTCTAGCGCATCCAGAAGAGGCAGAGGTGTGGGAGAGAAATACAAGAGTGACCTGTGATCCCTACAACCAGGTTCTAGGGGAAGTTCTTGAGGTCAGCAGCTCCAGAAGCCAACTCAAGAGTACCACATCCCAGTGAGAGCCTGCCTGGTCACAGGCTGTGCCCTGACCCTGGTCACACTCATATCCAGACTCTGGTCACACTCTAAGCCCTGACCCAGAGGGTTACACTCTGAGTCCTGACCCAGAGGTTCCTGGAGAAACTAGGAAGTAAAGGGTGTGGGCTTTCGGTATGGAGGCCTCCCAGACAAAGCCAGACCAGGCCCTGGTTGGACCACATTCTTCCTCGCCCCAACAAGTACCTGCCACTGTGCAGAAAGACTACACAAGTGCAGCCTGGGTCTCCCTGGCAATCAGGTGGAAAGTTTAGCAATGGGTCCTGGGGGCCAGGCATGTGCTCCAGGTGGAAGGCACAGGTGGAGCCCCTGAGCCTGGGGACTGGCAGCAACTGGGCTGGGCGTGATGGAAAAACTGGGTTAAACCTAAGGAGGCGTCAAGGGTGTGTGTGGTGGGGTGTCTAATCCAGTTAGCTGCAGCATCCATGCTGATTGCAGTGTGGTGCGGCTTCCTGGACACTGAGTGCAAAATCGGGCAGGCTAGGGCTGCTCCCTGGCTTGCCAGGCAACCTTGCCGAAGTCAATTAGCTTCTTGAGCCCAGTTTCTTTATCCAAACTAAAATTAATTAGTACTTTATATCTCGTGAGCTGTCATGAAGAAAAAGAAGATCCAGCAGGCTAAGTCCCTGACTCCCACCGGGGCTGGGGAAGCCTGGGGGCCCGATAGATGCACGTTGGGTCCTGCCCAGTGCCCAGGAGGGTATGGGTCTCCCACGCTAGGGTGAAACCAAATCCCAGTGAAGCTGACCCAGCAGGAAAGCCCCAGGGACCACAAAAGGACCGTGGGGGTTGGGAGGCAGAATTTCAACCACAGGAGGAGGCTTAGTCCCCAGAGTGCGCAAAGCCCAGGAGGGGAGTGAGATTTGGACACCCTGTTGCACAACGGAGCCCGGGTGAAGCCTGGCTTGCTAGGTGATTGTGGCCTTGACCACTAGGGAGGAAAATCTAGGCCTCTCTGTCATTGGAGTGGCCATCCCTCCTCCTGCCTCCCCCCGGCCCCCTCCAGAAAATGCACACGGCAGCTATGGGACATGATTGGTAGTAAACAGGGCCCTCTGGTGGGGAGGGATGTACAAGGGGAGAGTTTTGGCTAGTGCTGCCAGTACATGGGGACCCAAATTCACCACTCTCCTGTCTGGGCCTGGGGCAAGGAACTCCCTCAACTTCCTTAGCTGCCATGGGCTGGGAAGTCCTGCCTGAGGGCCACCCAGGGCCATTAGAGACCAAGGTGTCTGACCAACAGGGACCAGGAATAGTGTCATCAAGGCAGCCTGGGCCCCTCCCAGGACCTCTCCTGTTGACCCAACAGTTTTTGCCTTTGTCCCTTAAGCCTCTGAGCAAACTCTGGGCTGATTTGTCAGTGGCAGTTCAGTCCTGCACGCCCCCTTTCCCCCCACCACAGACCTGGGAGGAAGATTCTAACCCAGAGCCCCTAGATCATGAATTTGCCCTGGAATAAGAGCAAGGCAGAGGAGTTCTTGAGATAGCAGGAGTTCAGCAGGAGGATCACATCACTCTCCACTTCCCCTTCCAGGCAGTCTCAGAGTCCCTGGATGGTTCTTTGTGGAGGGGAGGAGGAGTAAGGGAGGCCCCCCGGGCAGGGAGAAGGGGTCAGGAAGGGGTGGAGTACCAGCCTTAGGCGGGTGGAAGGGGGGAGGAACTTTGACAGGGAGGGGTGGACCTGGAGGGGTCTGGAAGGGGCGGAGTACTCTAGGGGATGGGGTGTCAAAGAGGTGGGGAGGGGCCCCAGGGCTGGGGCGGGGTCTCCACACCTCCACCCTCAGAAACCTGATCCTGCTAATCTGCCCAGCAGACCGGTCAGACCACCGCACTTGGTATCCCCGCCAGACCAGTGGAGGGCGAGTGTATGGACCAGGACCATGCAGGGGACCCGACTGGCACTGCTGGCACTGACTCTGGCCGCCTGCAGGGAGCTTGGTGAGGGGCGCGGAGGTGGGGGGTGGGAGTGGGGACCGAGGAGTACGTCTGTGCTCCTCAGGACTCTGCGTTGCCAACTTTGGCACACTGTGGGCACCTCAGGGAGAGACCTGGAGAAGGAGAGGATGGGGGTAGACAGGGAACTGGCCCACTGGCAGGGTCCAGGGAGGGAAGGGAAGCAATGGAGAGCCAGGAAGGACAGGGATCTGGGTCCAAAGAAGGTCAGCAGGGGCTGACTGCCAGGTCAGAGGCCAGGACTAGCCAGACGGGCAGGGGCCAGTGCCAAGGCCATGGTGCCAGCTGGGGAGTTGTACCTGGGAAGAACTTTAAGCTGGGGACTGAACAGAAGGAGAGCCCAAGAAGGCTGGGGGGAAGCTGGTCTGGGGACTGGCAATGGGGATGGAAAGGAGGCCCGGACACGTCCAGCAGCGGTTCAAGTACTAGACCTGGGGTTTGAAAGAACAATGGGGTGAACATCGCCCCTGCACTGTACCAGCAAGGGGCTCAGTGGTGTAGACCCAAGCCAGGTGGCTCTGTCCATTTCCTGGAGGGAAGAAATTGAGATTGGCCAGAAACAGAGGCCCAACCCAGGTTACACAGAGCGGACACAAGGATCTGTGACTTCCCTGTGCACCCAGGCTTCTTGGGACAGTGGGAGCCAGCCAGGCACACTGGAGCTCCTGTGGCTGGAGCAGGGTGCTAAGCAGGGGAAGTACACCCTATTTACCTGTACCCCTCTCCCTAAGGAGAGGGCACCTTTGCTGAGCTGGTACCTGCCAGGCTCCGTGGACCTCCTTACCTGATCCCACAGCAGCCTTAAAGGGAAAGGGCACTCTGCTGATGAGGGCCTGAGGGCCTGGGCCTCCCTTCCTCTGGACCTCTTGCTGTGGTGATGCGTGGGCCTTAGTCTCCCTGGGCCTCCTCACCAGTATTTCAAGGCAGCTCTCCTTGCCCTGGCCATTGGCTGAGCCCGTCTCCCCAGGGCCACACTCTGTTTTGGGGATCTGAGAGCCCAAGTCAGAGCCTGTCCTGACCCCAACTCTATGCTCTTGGCATCTTCACTGAGTCTTGGCTGGTGGGCAACTGGCCCCAGCTAGTGTCATTGTCACCCTCAGACCTGGGCTTCTAGGGTAGGCTGAGCATCACCTTGTAGACTATCTCTTCAGTTTGAGGGGCACAGCCAGTGTGACCTGTCCCTCATCATTTCTTTCCCAGTGATGGCCTTACAGTGCTTCACCTGTCAGGAGCCCATGCCTGTGTCCAGCTGTGTCACCATCTCCACTTGCCATACCAACGAAACCATGTGCAAGACCACACTCTACTCCCTGGAGATCGGTCAGTATGCATGAGTGGGGCAGGGTGGGGGCCAGGCTCACAGCCCTCTCTAGCCCATCCACCCCTGGCCAGCTGAGCCCTTCATGGCCTGCAGCCACCATCCCACCATTTCCAAACAGAGGCTTTCTATTCCAGCAATTGGGCCACCCATCTCCTTTCCCTTTTCCTCCCCACTTCTCTCCTTGTCAAAGGGGCACCTGCAGCTTGCTGGGAGTCCCTGGGAAGGGCTGGCTTACGTACAGTTTTGGGTTTTCATTCTGCACCTGGTAGGAATCAGCCCATAAGTTGGGGAATCCCAATGCAAGGCACGATGTGTGTCCTTGACACTTCATAACACTCAGCAATTTTGGTGGAAATGGGGGGACTGAGACCCCTGGGCTGGATGACTCCACAACGGGTGGTTCCTGAGGCTGGGACTTGGAGGCAGCAAATGGCCTGCCCCTGCAGCTGACACTTCCTGCACCCCACAGTGTTCCCCTTCCTGGGGGACTCCACGGTGACCAAGTCCTGTGCCAGCAAGTGTGAGCCCTCAGACGTGGACGGCATCGGTCAAACCCGGCCAGTGTCTTGCTGTAACTCTGAGTTGTGCAATGTGGATGGGGCACCTGCCCTGGGTAACCTGGCTCTCACCCTCGCACTTACCCCTTTCTTGGGCCTCCTGCTCTAGAGCCCTACCCCCACCCTACCCCTACCCCGCCCCTGTGCTGACCAGTCCCAGACGCCTTAAAGAAATACAGTGCACCTGCATCCGGCCTCCTAAGTCTCCTTTCTGGGCACAGAGCTGCCTTCCAGGGCAGGGAGAGGGGTCTTTGGGTTACGTCTCTAACTTTCCCTGTCCCTGTCTGTCTCTCCTCCAGTCTTCTGTGATGGGTTGAAGCTTAATCCCACAAGCAAGGACAGTCACCATGACTAAGACACTCACCCAGCGGGTAGATCACTGCCCATCAGTTCCTTGGGGGCTGTGGAGAGCCTTACCAAGGTGGGCAGAGGCCTCTTTGCCACCCTACCACCTGCCTCTCCTCTGACTTGTATGCCTCCACAACCCAGCCCTCATTCACCCTCCCTGCTCCGGGTCCCTGGGTGAGTTGGCCCCTCACGTAGTTCATGGCATTTCAGCCAAGCTGAGATGGGCTGTAGGTCTTCCTTCCTTCCTTCCAGCATACTCCTAACCCACAATGCTGAGTCCAAGGGGCCTTGTACCTCAGCCATCGCTACCCTCCTGGGTGGAGGGAGGCTCTGTTCCTGGGCAAGGGTCCCATGACCAGGAACTGCTGAGAATACCCCATGCCTGGAGAAGAGACCAGGGGCCCAGGAGGCCCCTGTCCCTAGGACGCAGGAACTCCCTACCCTGCCTTTTGTGATCAAGACCTGCTGCCATGGGGCTCTGCAGGCCTGGGCCAGCTCCCAGGGGTCAGAGTGTCCTCAGCCTGGTGAGCTCCACCACCAACCCTGGGGCTCAGCCCACCCCAAGCACAGCCACCCTCTGTCTGGGGGCCACTGAGGGCAAACTGAGGCAACCTCCCAGGTGCTGGCGTGGGTGGCCCAATTCAGGGCTGTCAAAGTCAAAGTTTTGACTTTGTTAGCAGGGAGACATGGTCCTGTCATCACATCACACCCTCTCACCTGGTTTTTCTTGTGTCACAGGTGCACCTTACATACACACATGCATTCCATAAATCCCAGAGAGATTGGGGACAAGGCCACCTGTGACCAGGGTCAAGGCTCAGAGTGTGACAGAAGTGTTCAATCTGTGGCATGTGCCTAGGCACAGGCTATACGAGGCCTTAGAACCCCATCTTTAATTTCAACTTCATTGGTTTTGAGACTACTTTTAGGGGACTTGTCCCTGTCCTAGGACTTGCTATAGCCTTAGTCCATCAGCCAGGGACCTCTGAGTCACCAGTTGGGGAGGCAGGGCAGAAAGAGAAGTGCTGGAGCAAGGACCCACCACTGTGGTGGCTCATGCAATCCCACATCCGGTAGGAAGTGGACAGGGCAGGAACTGGGCTGATGGGGAGGAGGAGCAGGAACAGGCAAGAAAAGAAGCGTAGAGTTCAGTGTCTGGTGGCCCAGGCCCCACTCATATGCTGGCTTTGGGGTAGGCTCTGCTTTCCTGGGACCTGCCAGCTCTAGCACCCTCCTTCTGGATCTGAAGTCAAGAGTGATAAGACCATTTTCTCTGGCCTTGCTCTTGCCCCTGATCTACCCTGACCAGCAGAGGGATCCTCACCACAATGGCTTGTGTGACACAGGGATGAACATCCTTCTTGCCACTCTGGAGCAGGGATGTCTGGGTCTCGGGTGTAGACAACACCAGCCCTGAGTTCTAGGACAAAGTTTATGCTGGGCTACAGACAGCACTAGCTGAGGTCTCCCTGCAAGATACAACATGAACACCTTGTATTCAACCATCTACCTATCCACTAATCTCACCCATCCGCCCTTTCATTTATCCATCCATCCTCCATCCTTTTATCCATATATCCATCGTCTCATTTAAACACCCACCCATCCTTCTATCATCTATCCACCCACCCATCTGCCCTGCCATCCACTGTCTACTCATCCATCTACCCATCCATTCATCCACCCATCAACCAAACTATGCCCCCACCCATCCATCCATCTACCTACTCACTCACCTCATCCATCCATCTATTCACCCTACCATCCATCATTCAACCATCCATCTACCTCATCTGTCCTCTGTCCTTTCATCCATCCATTTACTCACCCATCCCATCCATCCTCCTCCACCCATTCATCCATCCACCATCCCAACTATGCACCCAGTTATCCATCCATCTACCCATCCATGTACATATTCCTTCTGTCCTCTATCCATTCATCGTTCCATCCGTCCATCCTCAAGTAAATGCTACTCAACAGTTAGCATGACCAGGCTTGAGCCAGAGGGGAAGAGTCTTAAAGGCCCAACAGGCCAGGTAGGGTAGAGCAGGCATCAAGCACCAGTGGTGGGATTGGGGCTTTGATTGCATCCCGAAGGCAGCGGAGAGCCAGGGAGCATTTCTGAGAAGAGTAGAGTGTGGTGTGATTTGCATATTAGCCTGGTCCCTGCAAGAGGAGGGAGGAGGGTGTGGTCAAGGACGAAGAGCCAAGCTCCCAGAGACAGATAAAGTGGCCTGGCAGATGTCTGGGGCTGGGTGTGAACTGAACAGTAGCCTAGCCACTTGGATAGGAGGGAACAGGGAGGGGCCATGGTTCCATATTGGGTAGCAGGTGAGAATCGCTTCAGGTGCCTGGCCAGGCTTGGATGAGATCCAGTAGATTCTTCTCTATACTCCCCACCAGAGGAAGGCAGTAGGAAGGAGGACATAAGTGCATCCACCAGAGCCTCTGTCAGTTGCTCCTGCAGTCTCACATGGCCCGGGCATCCCTCTCAGTTCAGCTTCCCAGCAACCCTGAGGGCTAGGAACAATCACTGTCCCAATTTAAAGATCAGACAGGCTCAGGAAGAAGTGACCTGCCTGTGGCCACACCATAAGCCTCTGACAGGGTCAGGGCTCCCCAGGTCTGTGTAATAGCTGTGTCCCAGGTTCTGGGAAGTGAGCTGCCTCTTCGTGTCACACATTGTCCTTGACTGGGCTCAAACCTGGTCTCCCAGTTCTACACCTGATGCCAGTGGGGAGGGTGTGGACTCACAAAGAGGCTGCCAAACTAGGGTGTAAATTGTGCCCTTCCCAGTGTTGTCTGTCCCAGACACAGCACAGCTTTTCCTCCTGCCCACTGAGTGCTAGGCTTGGAAATGGGACAAAGTGGTGCTGGTCTGCCCACAGGAAGGTGGACATCCTCCCTAGGCTGCCACTCTACCCCAGCATCCTCCCTGCCATCCTTGACCCCTGAGGTCTTCCTTCCTTTTCAGAGCCAGGACAAGTGGTCCCTTGCACGTGGCCTCAACTAGCAACACATCAGCACCTCCTGTTCTCAGCACCCAGGCCTGCGCTGCTTATTGGCACCCCACCCCACAACCCCATGCTCCAAGTTCACCTGCATTGAGCTCTGCAATGAGCTTGCAGTGTGGCAGAGACCTGCTCATGCTGTACACTTGCTAGTTTTCATGGCCTTCCTCTGGAGCAGATTTTCCTCTGCCTAGTTTAGAGAGGGAGGTAAGAATGAGTGCTTACAAGTAGGCCTGGGTCACATGGGCAGCCAGGGAACCAGGACTGGGTTCAGTCTACCAGGCCCAGAACCAGACCTTCCCTGGCTCTTATCGCAACCTCTGGGTGGGCTGTGGACTGAGCCCCTGGGATGAGCCACCACTGTTGTTTCTATCCACATGCAGGACCCATTGTTTGATCTGCAGTAACCACAGTCTTTCCCTTGGCCCGCCCTTTGTTTTCTACAAAGCCTTGTACAACTGGCCTCAGTCCACATTGGCAGGCCACTTCTGCCCTAGCAATCTACAAACAGGAAACCAAAGTCTGAAAGGACTAGGGAGCCACCCCAAGGCCACACACGGAAAGAGCTTCAAGGTCAAGAGAAAAACTCATGCCTCCTAGGTGCCAACCCAGAGCTCCTTCCAGCTTCCTATCCTGTTTCAAGATAGAGTGTGACTCCCCTACTCCATGGCAAGGCCCACCAACCAGCCCTCCACACAGGTGCATCCAGTCTTCTTATCCATGTACTCAGCTACCCGCCTACCCCCACTTTTCTAGCCAACTATCCATCCATCCATTTAACCATCCATTCATCCTGCACCCATCCAGCCACCCATTCGTCTGTCTACCTTCCATCCATCTACCCACACATCCAACCATTTATTCATTCTACATGTATCCATCCATCTACTCAGCCACCCATTTACCTATGTATTATCCATCCATCCATTCCTCCATCCTTAGTCCATCCACCCATCTATTCACTCATACAATCATCCATTAGAATTGTAGAAAACAGAAAAACCAAAGAGATGTCTACTGGGCAGGGTGGTAGAGGAATATGGATCTTACAGCATGGGGAAGATTTGAGGAATTGGATGGGAAACCAGACGGGGTGCCCACACTGAGACAGGCCCAACACAGGAAAAGGCATGAGCACAGGATGGTGTATGCTGAGTGGTGGGCAGGCAAGCGCTGAAGGTCAGATGAGATTGTCAGGCCAGGAGGCTGCAGGGTGGGCAGTAAGTACCCTGTGGTCAGGAGCCTAAAACCAAGAAGCTCTAGTGGGCAGGGACCAGTGATGAGGGGCCCCATGCCCATCTGCTCTAGAGGGTCTGGTTGGCCACCAGCACCCCCACACCACTTACACTTCACCAGGCACTCTCCTGTTCTACACTGGCACAGTTTCTATTTTGTGGGTACCAGGTATATATCAGGCAGTAAAAGTCTGTGCGCATGAGGACAGCCTTGGCCCCTGGTTAGGCAGATGGAGCTGTTGTTCCCACATGGCTCCCTGCACTGGTAGGTGCCCTACACCTGGGTCTGGAGGTCCCTCAAGACTGTAGCCATGAAGCTTGTGAAGCCCTGGGACAGAGCCAGGAGGGAGTGACTCATCAGTGGGAAGGATGTCCTCAGTCACTCAATCAGAGCTGGCCAGGACAACAGGAGGAGGGGTGAGGTCCCAGTACGAGGTGTGTCTGCCCAGGGCAGGGCCAGGGTCCTCAGACAAGGGCTCCCTTGGAATCTGCAAAGGAGTCCCACCCCTGGGAGCTGGTGAGTGATGATGGCTGCTGTCCACCGCCCATGGTCCACCAGCTTTCCCCATTCTACATAGAGCCACCCTACTGAGTCACAGCAGGTTCTGCTGCCGCCCAGGAGCAGGAGCTGGAGGGGCTGGTATAAATCCTCAACATGGGACCAGCCACGGTTCCCAGCTCCTGAGCGCTCAGGAATGGCCTTTCGTTGGGCCACATGGTTGCTGCTCGTGGCAGCTTGGAGCATGGGCTGTGGTGAGTGGCTGGGGGTGTGGCTGCCAGGGGATCCTGCCCTGGGTCTCGGTTTGCCCATCTGGGGGGCCCTGTGGCTGAGGGCATCCTAGGTTCTCAGTGAGTCTTCTGGATCCTAAAGCCCAACTTCCCCCTGGGAAAGGGATCATGGCCCCTGTTGTCGAGGGAGACTGAAGCTTGGGTGGTGGAAGCAGTGTTCAAGTCTGCCAGTAAGCCAGCTGGGCGTTGAAGGATCTCAGCAGATCTCTAGCCCCTTCCTCCCGGCTCCAGGCCAGGGTTGCCAGGCCAGGTGATGAGGCTCTGTCCCTGCTCCTTGCCCAGGTGAGGCCTTCAGGTGCTACGCCTGTGCCTGGCCCACACCCATTTATTCATGCAAGAACATTACCCAGTGCAAGCCGGAAGACACGGCCTGCAAGACCACATTGGAGACGGTGGAGTCGGGTAAGGCTGGACCCAGGCAGGGCCTGGGTCTACACAGAGGTCAGGCCCACCTTCACCAAATGACTCCCTCCATCCAGCATTGCCTGGGAGGAGGAGGGGCACAAAGGGTAGGGGAGGGGGCTTCCCCACTTTAGAGGGGCTGCCTGCAGCCAGGGAGTCACAGCCCCCTCAGAGACCCCGTGCTGGGTGCCAGGCATGGGGGTGGGGCAGGCAGATGATACAGAATTTGGGCTAGGGCCTCAGGCCTGGGCACTGCAACCACTCAGCAGGGGCTGGTGTATTATTAATATATGTCACAGTCAAGGGTGGGATGGGGAACGCAGGTGAGGTTGGAGGAGCCAGGGCACAGAGGGGAGGGTATGCAGTCAGACAGGTGTGGGCTCTGATGCCTGCCTGCCCTACAGAGTACCCCTTCATCCAGAGCCCCATGGTGACACGCTCCTGCTCCAGCTCCTGCCTGGCCACAGACCCTGACAGCATTGGGGCTATCCGCCCTGTCTTCTGCTGCTTCCGTGACCTCTGCAATTCTGTGGGGATGGCCAGACCAGGCATGGGGACTCTGGCCGTGCTCGGGACCACTCTCCTCCAGCACCTCATTTCCTGACAGAACCTGTGGTTCCCTCTTCTTGCATATCTCTGAAAGCAGAGCTCACTTAATCTCAGGTCACCTATTCTGTCTCCTAAACTTGTAGAAAATAAATAAGTCAAGGGTGGAGATGACTCTGTCCTTCCTGAGCACTGACAATCCACAGATAAGGCCTGCAGGAGAGCTGGGCTGAATTCTGCCATCTTTCAGGCACCCAACCTGCATTCTCATCCAGGGCTCTTTGGGCCCTTTTCCCAAATGGGGAGACAAACGCTTAGGGGCAGAAATGCCTCCTGGGCCACCCTCCCTGCAAACCTACTCCACACCAGGACACAAAATGTTCCTTAGCCCCAGGAAAACCGTCTTTCCAAGAATCTCCCCTCAAACCCCAGAGGTCACCCACTCTAGGGTGGAAACAAAGCTTGGAGTTGGACCTGATTTCTTCCAGGATTGGGTGGGTCTGGCTGGGCAGTCATGTCTCACAAGATGGGGAGGGCAGAGCAGGAGAGCACAAGGAAGCTCGGGCAGCCTGCTCCCTCTACCTGGGAGGGACCTATCTCCACAGTCCCTGCTATCCCCTCTGACAATGCCCTGCCTGTTCCCTTGGGGCAGCTGGGAGATTCGATGAGACAGTGGCCAGTGCCAGCTTGTCCCTCAGACCCCATGGCCAGGCTGACTCTGTGGTAGCCGCTGGTCAGAATGGCCTCAGGGGCTGACTCCCCACCCAGGTGCCCAGAGGACCTCAGACCCAGATGACCTTGTCTTCAGCTGCTGCTTCCCTGGCTCACAGGTGGCCCCCGCTGTCCCCTTCACAGTGCTCTGCCCACCAGCTGTGGGGCCTGGGCACCTCAGGCCTTAATGCCCCTCTCCAGGCTAGCATTCTTGTTGGTGTCCTCTGGGCTTGGCACTTTTTGGGTTCTGCCCAGCTGGGTCTTGGGTCAAACCCCATAAGCCATGGGGCTGTGGGACCTGTGGCTGTCGGGTGGGGACCATGTGAAGCAGGCAGCAGGCTAGCCAGCTTGGCAGATTGGACGGGCATGGGCGAGTGACCAGGATGGTGTGAGCATCCCTCAGGACCCCTGTGCGAGCTCCTGTCTCTGAAGGGCCCAGAGGTCAGCTCCTACTTCCTCCCAGCCCCCTCCCCACCCCCATCTTCACTGGCAACCAACATGCGTGGGAGCACGAATGCAGGGGCATCCTACCTTAGGGCCTCTCCGCAGGGCCTGCGGTCTCCCCATTAGGGTCATTCCCCTCCATTTGGGCTGGACTTCCAGAGATGGGGGGTTCTGGATTAGGAGTCAAGGACATGGCCTTGCCATAGGAGCTGTGCAGATGTCGCTGCCCAGTGGAGCAGCAGGGCTACTGCATCCGGACTCTTCTGAAGACCGCCCTAGTCAGCGGCATCCCTGCAGTGGGAGGCCGCACTGCGCCAGCACCGCCAGCAGGGGGCGTGCGTCCCCGGCGACGCAGGGCGGGCACGTGGGGACCCCATGGGCTAAGGTCCCGGCCCTCAGCGGACCTCGGAAAGCCCTTAGCCTACGGTTGGCCTTGAGGACACCTGCCTCACCTGGGTGAGCACTTCTTAATCCTGGAACTGCGCGGGCAGGCGATGGCACCCCCGGCCCTAGGGACAGCTACGGAGGCTGGGACCGCAAGCGGTACCTCCATATCGTCCCAAGCAATCTCTAGGCACACCCCGTCCTGCAGCTTCCTCTGCTCCCACCAGTCATTCGGGACCACTGGCTGGACACTCACTTCTTGTCTGGAGTCTTAGGAGAAACTTGTGGCCTTTTATTATGTGCACCCTGTCTCTCTGAGACCTGGAAGGGCCTTGGCCAAAACCTCTTAGATGAAAAGAAAGAGACATGTCCATCCGATGACTGCCTCCAGGCTCAGGGCAGGGCAAGAGGTGCAGGGCGGGTGGGGGTCAGCTTAGGGCCAGCCTCCCTGGCTGCCAACCATGGCCCTGCCCCGACAGGAGCCCTTCACCACGCCTGTTCCTCCCCCTTCCTTTCCCAGACTCTGAGCCTTCTGGACTCCCCCTGGATAAGTGGGCAGAGCATAGATATCCCCCACTCACCTGCCTTAAGTCCCTGGGGGGGGGTCCCACTCTAAAGGTGTAAAACAGCCTCTACACACTTGTTTCCTTCTCCCCCATAACCCCAGAAGGCTGGAGGTCCTGGCCTCCCGGGGCCATCCCAGGACTCCAAGGAAGGAAGGGCAAAACATGGGCCATGTACCTATGTACAGGGTTGCCAAGCTTCATGGGCTGGGGATAAGGCGGCAGGCAGGAAGACAGCGAGGGGCCTTGGGCAACTTCCTCCTGGCGTCAGTCCCATGTTCTCCAGGACAGTAATAAGTCTAGCCCTGCCAGCCTGGTCCCTAGGTTCACAGGAGCCTGACAAGCCTGGCCTCCTTCAACACACACACACACACGAAGACACACCAGGGAATGGGCACAGCAGGCAAACAAGGCTTCAGAAATAAGCACCTTCTCCAGCACACGCACCTTAAAACTCTTTAATCTTGTGCTTTCTTTAAATAAAAGATTCCAATTTCCCTGCAGCACTAAGGCAAGGACAGTAGCATGGAGTGGGGTGGGATGTGCAGAGGAAGGGTCAAGGGCATCACTGAAACTCCTGGCTTGCACTCAGGTGTGGTTCCAGGAAGGGCAGCAAGGAGTCAGTTCCTGGCTTCCAGCTGCTGTCCTCACCCTGGCCTGGTAGAGCAGAAGCCAGGCACAGATAACACCCACACCCAGGGCTGCACCTCACGAGCCCTAGCTAGACATGGTATGCCCTCTCTGCCAGAGCCCCAGGCTGGGACCAGCCCTCTTAGCCCTCTGGGTTCTCAGAAGTTGTGGGTGGTCCAGGCCTCAGTTTCCTTAGCTGTAAGGTGACCCTTTCGAGGGCCCCATTATCCCTGAGTCAGGCCCAGGCCCTAAGCCAGCCCTGGAGAGCCCCAGCCCATGCCCAGGACTGTTGTGGCCTGTCTGGCCATACACGTATGTGACTCCAATGATCCGCCCCAGCCCCCCCCCCAAAAAAAAAAAAACGTGGGCCCTAAGTAAACAGCCTCACTGTAGAGACAGCCCCACCAATGCCATTCCATCAGCTGCCAGTGTGGGGGTCCAGCAGAGAGCGGGTCAAGCGGGTAAAGGGGGTCAGAAAGCCACTCCAGCTAGGAGCCCAGCCAGCCTGTCCATTCTGTGGGACAGGGTGACAGGCAGGGCAGGCGGGGTGCAGAAGTGGCGGTCACTGGTCCTTGATGGTGTCACTGAGCCCACTCTCAGCACGGAGCAGCTGGCTGCTGGCCTCGTTGTAGGCAATCCAGTGCTGTAAGTCTTCCGGCAGTTCCGGGGGCTCTACCTACAGGGAGACAGGAGATCGAGGCTCTGGCGAGCTACCTGCTGCTATGAGGTCTTCCGAGGAAGGGGTGCACCAAGGGAGCACCCAGACAGGCTGCTGCCCTCCCACTGCTGGGCCTCTGCCCACACCATTCCCCAGCCCTGTGACCCTCCACGAGTCTCCTCCTCAATGCCCACCCATACTTCCCCTGGCCCCTCTGAGCTCCTACTTCCTCCTTCCTCTTTCCACCCAACCTCCCTTTGCCAGGCCACCCCAGTGGCACCATGCTTGAGGTCTCTGAATCCCTAGAACCAGGCAAAGGCCTGTGAGGCTGGCTGATTGGAGAAAGTGAGGAAGAGCAGGACGTAGGGGCAGAAGAAGACTGGCCATGGAAGCTATGCTCCCAGGAAAGGGCTAGAGTGACCTTTCTGAGAGCCCTTCTCTTTCTCAAAGGTACCAAGAGAATTGGATTTGATCTGCCAGGCCAGCTCTGAGTTGGTCCACTCTATTCTTAACAGTCCTCACTCTGATGGGAACAAGACACTGAGCAGCCTGAGAGCTGGAGGCCTTGCCACTGAACACTGAGAGCTGCCGAGAGAGACGCCGGGCAGATGCCCACCACATCTCCAGGGTAAGACCAGGAGGAAACTACCAAGGGCCAGGCAGGGCAGGGCTGGGCTCTGCTCTCATGTCCAGCTCTGGCTCTCAGGACCACCTGCTCCTTGCCTAGTTTCAGTAGTCAGATCCAGCTGTCCCTTCCTGATCACAGCACCTCAGGCTAGCCTCTGCTTACAGGACCTCTAACCTCAGATTCATCCTGTCCCAAAACACACATGCCTCTGCCTGAGATCCTCCCTAATCCCGGGACTCAGACAAGTAATGAGGGGTGACCCCCAGCCAGCCCCTGGCCCTCCAGCTGAGCTGGGCCTCCTTAGGGTGTGCAAGTTCCACCTCCTCCTTGCATAGTGACCCCGCCCTTCATCCCCACCCCCCACCTCTCACATGGACTGCACCAACCAACCTCAGGACTGAAAACAAGGGAGCAAGGCCCGTGATCCATCACTGTGCAGCCTTAGCTGGCGGCCATTGCCTCTCTGAGCCTGTTTCCCCACCTCAGATACTGAGGCCTGCCCTGACAACCATCACCACTGGCTGTCCCCAGGGCCATGGTTGCCATACTGCAGTAGCTGGCTCTGCCACAGAGCTAGGAGGACTGGGCCCTGGGGAGGGGCCTTGAGCGTCTGCAGGGACCGGGCCCTCCCCTCTCTAAACTACAAAAAGACTGAAAGGTTTGCAGCCCTCTCAGTCCAACCCCAGATCCAGGAAAACAGGATCCAAACCCTCAGCTCCAAGCTGTGCGAAAGGGGAAGGGGATATCTCAAGTCCCCCATAATTCTTGGCAACCACTTTTAACTGTCCACCATCTCCATTCCATATTCAGAACCAAAGACCAGAGAGGATGGCTTAGTGTTCTAGGCCTCATGGCACCAGCAGACAGACTCCTGGGGGGAGTCTGGGCATCTGTTTTGGAAGAGGGGAAGTAAAACCCTGAGGGATCAGGTTCTGCAATGGTTAAGCCTGACAATAAAGTTGATTCAGGGACCCTGGAGACCCCCTAGTAGAAGGGCACCAATGAGTAAAGCCCTGGGCCCAGAGAAAAGGTTAGGAGTGTACAAGATCAGACTGGGCACCCCAAAGAAGCACTGGCTGGCGACCTTCCCAGGGCTGGGAGACCGCTGGGAACCCCGGCGGCGGGGGGTGGGGGAGGGCGTGCACGGGGGCCGGGGCTGCTCACCCTGCGCTTGCATAGGTGCTGCACCACTCGATCCGGCGAGGTGCCCACCACGTGCTGCCGGGAGCGCAGCAGTGCGCATAGGAAGCCATCGCGCAGGCTGACGAAGCGTGCCTCCAGATAGAAGGCGCGGTCGTCCCAGCCCAGCAGGCGGGTGCGCACCTCAAAGGGCTCGAGCAGGCGCAGGGAGCGGCGATAGCGCGCACACGAGGCGGCCAGCACGGCGTGCGCCCCCAACTCGCGCAGTGCTCCGAGCACCCCGCAGCGCGTCAGGTGCGCGGCGCGGGCCACATCGGCCTCGCGCAGGTAGCGCGCGTTGTTCATGTGCAGCAGCAGGTCCAAGTCCGAGGGCAGCACGCGTCCTGAGTAGCTTTGCTCAGCCAGCAAGTCGCGGACGCGCGGCTGTAGCAGGCGCGCGCGCAGCACGGCGCACGGCACGCGCACCAGGTACCATCCGTCCAGCAGAGCGAAGAAGGCAAGCGCGAGAGCCAGCAACGCCACCAGCAGCCCCACCATCGCGGCGGCGGCGGCGCCGGAAGGCGCGGGGTACAACGGGGCCCCTCTGCGCTCGTTGCGGGCCGGGGCCGCTGTGCCGCAGCCAGCTACCCGCCTGCCCCGGAGACCGCTAGCGCTGCGGGCTGGAGCACACCACCTCGCTCAGCCGGCTGAGGGGGAGCCTCTCCGGATGCCGCAGAGCCGCGGGCCGGAGCCCCGCCTAAAGCTCCTGGTGGCCCCCCGCGCCCTCGATGGTCTGTGCCGAGTCCCCGGCGGCGCGTAGCTTTCGCCTTTCCCAGGGCGGGGTCGGCGGGTGCGCGGAGCACCACAGCGACACGTGGCGGCTATGTCTGGTGTTGCAGGGGCGCTGAGCGCGTCTGTCGTGTCTCCATCCTGGATAGAGCACAGGCAGGTGTTAGCTCTTGAGAAAGCAGGCTCAGCTCCTGATCTGAGTGGAGCCACAGACTCCAGCACTTCCCAGGCCCACGATGAGGGACTTTGCAAGTGATAGAGGACACACCAGGTCCCCAGGGGCTCTGCTGAGAGGCTTCCGCTGAACCTGCGACCCTGCTTCAGGCCTCCGCTCCCCCCGGGGGGGGGGTCGTTTGGGGAGAATTAGATCTGGCCCCCATGGGCATTTCAATCCCAACCTGCACCCCCAACATTCCTTCCCTCAGCACCCCTCAAAGAACCTGATTACCCAAGGCTGTCCCAAGCACTCCTCCCTTTGACCCTTTTGAAACTGGAAACGTCTGAGATGGAGGAGGAGGAGCCGGGAGAACGTAAATAACTCAGTAACCTGGCCTAAGCTATAGTGCCTCGACTAGGGGGACTCTGCCTGGGAGCTGTCACAGGTTCCGTGATGGCCCTGAGAAGGCCTGGCTGTCTCCTCTCTCCCCACAGGGTTCTCCGATGACTCCCTGTGCAGGTGACCAGGGAGACCGGCTCAGGTCTGCCTGTGGTTCGGGATGGCAGGAGAGCTTTGCGCTTCTGGCAGTGGACCTTTGCTCAAGAGAGGAGCTCCCAGGGGGCAGCACCACCTCCCCTGCTCCATGCTGGGCTGGACACCTGCTGCCTTGCTCTTCCATCAAGGACAGGCTGAGTTCTTTGCTCTTTGGGTTTTGCTTCTGAGGCTGGCAGCTGTGGCAGAGTGGGAGCTGAATTTCCTGGATCCCTGGGATCTGCTTGGATACTCCAGGGACGGAGAACTCACCGCTGGTCAGGACAGCTCTAACTGTCCCTAAGAAGGGCCATCTCTGCACATTACTCACACTTACCCCTGTAACACCCACTTTGTCCTGGCTTGCCTCTGAGTGCTGTCCTCAAGGAGGTGACCCCTCAGGAGGAAGAGACTGAGGATATTTCCCTTGAGCCCATTGGCCTTTGCCCTCCTGTCCCTCACTTTGCCCACTATGTCCCATCCCACCAGGCCCCGAAGAGCTTACACCATCTGTGCCCACCTTCCTGCCTCCAGCTCAGCCATCCTGCCTCATTCTTAGATGCTATGAAATCTGCCTTACACATTGTCCCCTCTCCTCCTGTCTTCCCCTTCCCCTACCCTCTGCCTGGGCTGGGTTCCCAGGGCTCTCCTTGGAGGGATCCCCATGCCTCGGTTGCAGTTTTACACAGGTGGGATCACAGAAGCACGAAATGCTGTCTTCCTGCTGGACCCTAGGGCCAGAGTCTGGTCAGCCTGGTTGACCACAGTATTCCCCAGCAAGTGCACCCTGTGGTACACTGCAGTTGTTCAACACAGGCAAGTGTTGAAGGAACCCACCCCTTCCTCCCCCTCCATCTCCTGGCCATGTCGGTCCCTTACACAGGACACAAACATCTTGGGGTGGGTCCCTGGCAGGGAGTCCAGGTCCTAGAAGCCCCTCCCTCCACCTGCACTTGGCCTGCAGGAACCCAAGGAACAATGCCAGGTGCAAAATGCCAGCTTCCGGCAGGGGGTAATCCCTGACCCTTGGCTCCTCAAGGATTCCTATGTGTGCATGCTACAGCCTTGTGTCACCGCCAGAAGCAGACCCACAGCCTAAGTTCTAGTGGTTGCTGCCTGGGTTCGAAGCTGCGCAGCTAGGACACGTGTGGGCAGAGGGCAACCGCCCAGCAGAACTTGCAGACAGCGATGAGATTAGCGGGAGCACAGCAGGTGCCTGGCCCCTGACCAAGGCCAGGTGCTGATCCTGGTGACTTGTAGCTACCAAGGAACTTTTGGCACAGCCCAGGTCACAGGCTTGGCCCTGGCATGGAGCACCCAGCCAGGCCTCCCACATCTCATGTAGAAGCACCTGCCTTCTACACCTCCCCTCATCCTAGCTGCAGTGATTCATTGCAAGGAATTCCCGAGGAAAGGGTGTGAGGGCTTTTTGTCCCTCTGTCCCTGTGCACCCCTGGCCTCTGATGTGTCCCAACCCTGGGTATGATGTCAGCCCCAGGGAGAAGGAGCGCCTCTGCTCGGGAGTGGCTGACATGTGAGCCCCTTGGTGGGCTGTGTCACAGTCAGTGAAGGTGGTCTTGCTCTTGACCTGTGATCCCCTCCCCTTGGGAGGTGTCTGAGAGGCCCTCCCTGGCCATGCCAGAGTTTGGATCCTCTTCCCTGATTTTATTTTGTTCTCCCAGACCTTATCACTAACAGGCAACAGAGTTATGTATCATCTGAGACCACTGTCCTGTAGGCTTCATGGCATGGGATGGCTGTGTGGTGTCTAGAGGGCCGGGGAGAACCCAACCAAGCCTGGGTGAGTGCTGTGTGTGGAGTGCCAGGAACAGCACTGGGAACCTACCAGGTGTTCAGTAACTGTGTGCTGAGTGGACAGAGCACAGCAGGACACCAGCACCCCGCGGCCTGTTCTTGACTCTCACCAGAGGTGGTTGGCAAGCATGAACCCACAGCTTCCAGAAGCGCATCCTGAGCGCCCACAATCCTGGGCTGCCTTTGGTCCCAGGTCTTGCACCAGAGCTCCAACAGATGTGGAGTTCTGCCAGGGGACCCCCAGATCTGCAGTAAAAAACATAGCCTTCCCCACCCTCCAACCCTGGACCCAGCCCTGGGCAAGCCAGGTCTGTGTGCTGAATGTGCCTTGGGCTCCAGAGGAGGCAGGCCTGGGGAAGACTGGAACCCAGAGCTCCCTCTGGGTGGGGCTGGAGACAAGGGGGGAGGAAGTCCACACTTAGGGTCACCCAGATGCAGGCCTAGGAAAACTGACCTCCCAACATGTCCCATCATCCACTCCCCTCACCCGAGGCTTTCCACCTGGAGGGCACTGGCTTGGCTGACATCCCTGAAGCCTCTGGCCAGCTTCATCCTCAGCATGACTCCTGGCCCACTGGCGGTTGGGCTCCCACTCTCACCCCAGAGCCCTAAGGTTCTGATTCAGCTCAGGACACAGGTTCCTTCCCTTCTCTGAGCCTCTGTGACCCCCCATACCTCCGGAAATACCACCCACTCAGGTCCCCACCCAGGGCCCAGGCTGTCCACAGCCCTGGGGCAGAGGCAGGCTGGTTGCGAGTGGAGAAGCATGGTAGGCATTGCCTCCCGCAGGCCTCTGTGGGTACGGGTATTCCCCTGGAAGGGTCTGGGAGGTGTGGTGGACACCCTGGAACACAGGTCAGGCCTCGGGCAGGGTAGGGGTGGTGGCCTGCTACTGGGGACCTTTGTGGCATATGAGTATTTAGTGTGGGATGGCAGCTCTCAGAACAAAGGTTTTGAGAGACAGGGTAACTGAAGCCAGTGGAAGTGGCAGGAACTACCCTTCCCAGCAGAATCTCTCCTCCCATGAGAGCCCTGGGCCCCAGGAAGGGCCATGAGAATGGGGCTCAGAGAGGCATGGTAACATGCCTGAGGCTGCACAGCCAGGACCAGGAGTCTGAAGAGATGCTGCCCTGCCTCCCGCCAGGTGCCACGCATTTGCTTCTTCCCAGGTCAGAGTTCCAATCCCCATGGCCAAGGGCGGGTCCACAGCCACAGACATGGCCCAGGTGGAGCCCAGACACAGCCTGGGCTCACATAAGGACACAGTCTCTCTCCAGCTCACACAACAGGTGTTTATTAAGGGTCTATTGTGTGCTGGAGCTGCTGCCCCCTTCCAGGCCTCATCTTCTGGGATTCCTGGACCTCGTGCCCACTCTCAACTCCTCTACTCAGTCTGTCTCATCTCAGCCTTCACTGAGCCCTCCCAAATGCTGTCCGTGTGGTCCTGGCTCAGCTCCTGGAGGGGAGGGCAGGGAGGTGTCCTGGAGGCAGGGGTGCCTGAGCAGAGGTGATCGCTGGGTCAAATTCTGGACTGTGGAAACAGCAGCTCAATCCTACAGCTAACTGCAGGCCATGCTGTGCTGCTACAGCCCAGACTGCCTGGCAGGTTGATACTGAGCAGTCCTAGAAGGGGTCAGGGGCATAGGGCAGGGCCAGACTGTGTCAGCGCCCACCTCCAGGGACCATGAAAGGCCCTGTCTGGGCCAGGTGGATGTGTGGAGAGGTCCAGCGTGGGCTGCAATGGGGCCCTCCTGGAGCCTACAGCTGGGTGGGGCCCCACAGCAGCAGGCCCCCAAGCATGGACAGTAGCCCCAGGGTGGTGGCAGGCTGCAGGGTGTGAGCCCCATTAAAATTGCACAGGTCAGTGTCACAGCACGTGACATTTTTCTTCCCCACGTAGTAGTTCTCTGCTTCTTCCTCACAGTTTGAGCTACAGCCCTTGCTGATGACTGTCACAAACCCAACGGCACCTGGAAGGACACAGTTACTGCTGAGTGAGGGTCAGGTCCTAGGACTCTTACCTGCCTGGCTCTGCCCCAGGACTCCCTCCTGAGCCCACTCTAACTGAAGCTCAAACCAGGTTGGGCTGAGCTCTGAGCCCCGGAAATTTTTAGTTAGTGGATGACTGAGCACAGGGGGAGTGTGTGATGGGCAGTGGAAGGTTATGGGGCGATGGGTGGAAGGCTGAGCAGGTATGTGCACAGATGGAAAATTGCAGATGGACAGAGAAAGAAAAACAGCAGCAGAGACCAAGGCCCAGCATCTTAGGTCCCTGTCAGTGGAGGGAAAGGAGGCCGGGGCAGTAGGGTGGCAGGGCACTCACTGACACGCGATGTCCAGCAGGTGGTGTCAGTGACAGTGCAGTTCTTCACGTTCTGGCAGTTCTTGTTGCTCATCTCGGCGGTGCACGTGTAGCACTGCAGTGCGTCACCTGTGGTTAGGGCGGGGAGGTTCAGAGGCAGCCCAGTTGCCCTGTGCCAGAGGACCACACTGGGCAGAAGGCTGCAGGTGCTCTGTTCTCCCCATACAGCGTGGAAAGGGAGCCCTCAGCCCCTTCCAGACTGCAGAGAGCATGGAGGAGACGAGGGCCCAATGAGGCCCTCCATGGGCTTTACAGGAGGGGTCTGTGTGGCCCATGTCCTCCTGCAATGACTTCTCTGACTGCTCTACCTCCTGGCATCCAAAGCCCACCATCCGTGTTGAAATCCACCACTTACAGATTTAAAGCTTTGTTAAAATGTCCATGCATCCAGGGAAGGGTTACAAACCCCAGTGACTGGCTGGTCATACCTAGCAGCACCCCAGCTGGGCAGTGGGGAATTGGAGGTATAAAAAGGTCCTTCCTGGACTTCCTCAGTACTGCTAGGCATTGGGGCCCATCTGTCCTTGTCCCCTAAACTAGCCAGCCTCTTAGTCCTTTCCAGGCCTCCTTGGTGCTGTGACCAAAGATGAACCCTTGGGCCACTTGACGCCTTGTTTTTGGGACTACAGGCCCCAGCAGCCAGGACATCCTAACTAAGTCTCCTTCCCTCAAAACCAGGATCCCAGTCACTCCAGTAGAAACAGGTGCCTAGTGTCCCACCCCGGGAGTCCTGCCCTTGATGTTTCCCAAACATTGCCTTGTGGCCAGTTTTTGTGACAGCCCCCTACCCCCACACAACATGTATACACCATCCAGAAGCAGAAGCTGAGGCTCTAAGACAGTGGTGACTTCCCCAGGAATGCTAGGTGCGGGGACCCAGCCAGAGCAGAGCAGCACAGACTGCCCCGCCTCATGAACCTTCACGGGCCCTGCTGGAGGCTGCTAGAGGCAGCAGAAATGGAGGCTGGGCTGGGGTGGACCCCGTGCCTTCTCTCAAGACACTTCCAGTTTCCCTCTTTATGATATTCTTTTCTCTGTCCCTCTAGGGTGCTTCTTAGCTTGAGAATTTTGCCCCTGGGACTCCCAGGCTGTTGGTCAGCAATCCTGTCCATCTGTCTTCCCGCTCTGGGAGCCAGGGGCTGCCTCCGGTGGTGAAGAAAAGTAGCCCCATGCCCCTCTCAATGCCTGGCTGTCATGGGACTGCACTCCTTTCTGGGTGCCTTCCTCCATCTGCTCCTCTTCTTCCTTGTCCTCCTCCTTCCCTGCTTCTTCCCCTCTCTGTCCCTCTGGGTCCCCCTCTGCCCTCCTTCCCTCACCCATTCCCCTAGCCCTGCCCTGTGGTGGGTTGAAGACTTACCTGGTTGCAGGGCCAGGCCAATGGCCAACAGGGCAAGGAGGACAGCCTTCATGGTCACAAGTGGGCAGTGGAGAGCAGGCTGCAAGGAGCTTTATATGGAGTCAGCTGGTGGGGAGGTGCTGCTGCCTACAGTCAACAGTGACAGGCTCCCTGAGCCCAGCGAGAGCCCAGGGCTGGGCCAATTCCAATCTCCGTCCTCCCAGGCTGCCCCTCCTACACCTTTGTCCTTCTTTTTGCCTCTGGAGGGCAGAGCCTGCCCAGGGTGGGGCCACTCGCCCTGCTAGAGGCTGTTTTTCAGACACCCTAACAAGGACTGAGAAGTCCTCAAGCACCCAGAATGAAGCCAGACCAGAGAGACCACTTTCTCAAAACTGTCCACTCTCCCAGTCTGGACATGCCCTTGCGGTCCCAGTGCTCTGCATGGAAACCCTGCTTCCATCCTGGGTTGATGGGTCTTGATCCAAGTATTTCAGACAGATCATTCCAATAGCAACTGCAGCAAATGAAATAGACTAGCCACTAGAGAGTGTCACTGGTCACTCCTCTCCTCTGGAGACCTGGACTCGAATATGGAGCTCAGATAGCTATGGGCTCACATTTTCAGAGCATTCAAAGTGTGCTGGACCCTGGGTTCAGGGTGTTGCCCTGAGGACTTTATTTAATCCCCACAACTTGGAACTTTAGCTGCAAGGGAGTCGGGAAACATGCAACTTTCAGCAGTCTCCCTGACGGAGGAGGATGGGGGAGCCCGGGCACTGCCTGGATGTGCTCCTCCAGGCCAGACCCACAGTGCACCCTGCTCTGGGTCCTGGGAGGTGAAACAGACTCCCTGGGCAGAGCAGGAAGGGGACAGAGGTTAGGCCATCTCTCCCTCTGGCACACTGACTGGTGGGGTGTGGTGGCACTGCTTGCATCCCTTTACTGGAGACTCCGAGTCCTGTTGGTCAGGATTTCACGGCCATCTCTGGTCACTATTGTTTCCGTGTATCCCTCCAGGCCTAAGGGCCCAGAGCTTCCTGGGTTGTTTGTTGGCTTTGGGGTGATTTGTGGCCCCAATTGCCCAACTCAACCTGAGGTTCACCTATGTACATGGTCCCTCTGCCAGGCTCCCCCTATTACCCCTTTGGGCATGCTGGTGCTTCTGGTGGATAGAAACACTGGCCATGGCTACTACCCACTGCCCACTTGCCGATGGCCAGGGCGCAGCCACTCGTTCCCTGACACTCTTCTGTCCCTGCTGATGGCCTCCTGACCATTCCTCCCCACCCCAAATGTTTCCCCTAAGAAGAGATCTGGCATTCTAGGGGTCATGCAGGAGACCAGTCCTTCTCCAGGAAGGCCATGAGACCTGGGAGTGCCAAGGGGCACAGGAGCTTACCAAAGCCCTGGATTGAGATGACCCAGCTAATGGGGTCAGGATAACATGAGGCTCCGTTTCCCCAGTACAAACTGGCCTGTGGACTTCTACCTGGGGTCAGGCAGCCCCAGACCCTCTGTGGGTCTCACCTGCCTGACTTCCTAGGCCCCCCAGGTAGGTCTCTTTTCCATGTAAATTCTCTCCCTTAGCAGTGAGGAGTCTGGGGCTCAGAAGGGGAAAAGATCTTGCTCAAGGTTACACATAAAGTGTGTGGAGGCCTCTCTGCCCTCTCTTCCCACCTGGAACACCCTCTCTGAACACCCTTCCGGGACGCAGACTTTCCAGCCCAGCAAGTGCTGCACACAGTAACACAGTGGCTCGGCTGTTTCCACCTGGGGCTGCTTGCCTGTCAGCACCCTCCTACCCCAGCCCTAAACAACAGAGGATCGAGCTTTCTTATCTGTCTCTGCACTGGAGACATGCAGCACCCAGCACCGGCTTAGAACACTCATTTCCCAAATATTTACAGGTGTGTAAATGTTTGCCGATCAGCCTTGATAGGTGAGTCCTCTAAGGTAGTGGAGTGATTCTCCCCCTCCCTGGTGATGCCTGGAGGCAGTTTGGGTTGTCCCAACTCAGGGTGCCACTGGCACTGGCTGTAGGGGGCCCAGACCCACGATCTGCTCAACACCCAGCAGTGCACAGCCCCAATGCCAGTAGTACCCAACATGGAGCTCTGACCTCACGATGGCCTAGTGGTGGTGACTCAAATATCAAAGAAGGCCATAACTGTGACAGCCTCACCCTTACCACAAACTGAGCTCTGACCTCAGCCCAACACTGAGTCCTCACTCTGATCAGTCTTAACTCTGACCCTGGTTTCCAAATAAACCAGCATCATGGTCACACACTGAGCCCTGACCCTGGTCACACCCTAAACCGTGACCCTGGTCACACTCTGAGCCCTGATCCTGACCACCCGCTGAAACCTGACCTTGGTCACAGGCTGATCTTTGCCCCGTACCATGCATGTTTTGGGCACACACTGAAAGCAGTCCCTGAGCCTAGACTGAGCCTGGATCCTCTGGTGGCCCAGCTTCCTGGAAAGGTCTATCACAAAGGGCCATGACAGGTTGCAATCCCTCCATGAGTGGATGTGGTCCAGGTGTGGCCTCAATATGACTCACCCTTAGCCACAGTCGCCTTCTCTGCCAGCCACTTGCTGAGATTCCAGCTTTTCCTGTTCTCTCCTGGTCCTCCACCTACCCACCCAAGTCCGAGGGCTCCCTGAAGATCCTCCCCAGTCACATAGTGAGGGAGCTGCCACTGCCCGGGGCCCAGACCATTCACAGCAAGGCCTTTCCAACAGCCTACTGCCTCTCCCAGGACCACCACACTGCCCTCTGCTTGACCACACATCATATGACCATTTTTTAAAATTTCACACAGCTAGTTTTTAAAAACAAAGACCGTGTGCTAATTGAAAAACATCTGGCTTCTGCTTGTACCACTGTGGATCCTTTCCTTTGAAAAATGCACCTGCAGATCAAGAGTGTGACCCCCGTGCAGCCAGATCCCAGGGTAGCTGGGGGCCTGTGTCTTACACTGTGTGTGCCACGCGGGAGTGTGGGGTGCGGCAAGTGGGTGAGCACGTGGTTCACACGTGTGTGTGCAAATGTGAGTGTTGGGGGCCCCCTGAGACCCTCCTTAGAGGGAGTACTGGCAGGAGATTTCCCCACCCAAGGCCTCTAGAACCTGAGTGAGGGGCACTGCCAGGGCCCAGGCCTACCTCTAGGCAAAGGGCTGTAGGCTCCACATGGCAAGGATGACCCGGGGGCTTGGAAGGGAATTTGAGAAGCCAGACCATGTGTGGTCAGGTAATGAGAGAACCTGAGCTTTACTTGGGTAGGAGGAGTGGGCCTGGCAAGGCCAGTCTGTGAGGAGGCTGGTGTAGCAGCCCAGCTGGTCGGAAGGTCTTGACTCTGGGCTACAGTGAGTGCTGGGGAAGGGGAGCTCTTAGTGCTGGGCTGCAGTGCATTTCTTCCTCTCTTTCTGTCTCCCTCCCCACTGCCAGTTCTTGAGAGGAGTCCTGAGGGTCTTGGGTTAATGTTCCCAGCAGAAGTTCCATGCCAAGCCCCACCTCTGTCAGCACCACCTAGGTCTGGGAGGAGCTTTTGATCCTGGGTCCATGAGGCGGCAGCAGAGAGCCACACACAGAGGTAGGGCCAGCCTTCCTGGAGGACCTGGCTTTTCCAGGAAATCGGCTAAGGGATGGCTCTGGAGGTCCTATGTATACTCTGTGACTCAGTTTCCTTCTTTGTCAAACACATTTAACTATCATGTAACTTCTGACCCACAGAATCATGCTGTAGGATGGATGCTGTTCCAAGCCACTAAGTTTCTGGGTGGCTCTGTAACAACAGTGACAACTGATAATGAGTGAAGGCAGATGAGGGAGGAGGCAATGTGTGGGCCAGGGGTGGAGCAGCTGCAGGGAGAGAGAAGTGGTCCAGGGGATGGATTTTGTGGGCAAAACCAATCAGAGCGCTTGGTCATTTGGATGCAGGGTATGAGAGAAAAAGAGCCCACGGTGACCCTGAGTATTTTGGCCCATGTGGATGGCATTTACCCAGACAGAGAATACAATGGGTGGAGCAAGGCTAGACAGGTGGATCCCGAGCTCCATCTTAGAAATGCTGTGTTTGAGGTGCCTGTGGACTGCTGTGTGGAGTTGTTGGGCAGGACAGAGCACCTTTGGCTTCAGGGGGGAGGAGGGCTGGCAGGAGACATGAATTTGGGAGCTGCCAGCCTGCCCTGGTTTTAGAACTTTGGTACCAGAGATCACAGAGGGAATGTGACAGGCAAGGAGACTGGTCAGTTCCAAGCCAGCGAGGAAAAGGATGGGGAAGAAGAAGACAGTAGGGTCCTGGGAACCAAGGGAAGGATGTGAATTAACGAGGAGCAAGTTACCAAAATCTGTAAGTGTGGTGACCTAGAATAACACAGATTTGTTGTCTCTCACTTCTGCAGGACAAAAGTCTGCAATGAGCCTCATGGAGCTGAGATCAGGCTGTCAGTAGGGCTGTGTTCCAAGACAGAGTCTGTTTTCAGCTCCTATGGCTGGTGGCCCTTGCTCCATCTTCAAAGTACTACTGACATCACTTGATGTGAACCACTGGCCAACAGGTTCTTTTATTCCCACCTTAATTATTATTAACTTGCAGATCACATATTATACTTCACAATAACATATAGCTTACAGAATTGCTAAGAAAGGGTTAAAGAGGCTGTAGGAGTCAAAGAGGCCTTGCTGAAGGCAAGAGCAGAGAGGTAATACAGAAGCAGAGACCCACTGGGGGTGGTTAGATAAGATATTAACATAAGGAACCAGTCACAGAGCTGTGAGGTGCGTAGTTCAAAACACAAAACTAATTCAAAGCACAATGCTGGCTCAAGGTCCCAAACTGCTTCCAACATTACTGGGTCCTGATAACAGCAATCTGGCAATTCAAGTGGGTCCCATCAAACAGGGGAATGAGCTGGGCTGATGCCCTAGGGATAAACTTGGGAGTTTGTCACCTGTTAATCTATGATGCATGCACCAGATGATCTGATGGTGTTAGGTGCTCCTTCTTTTCACGTGATCAAGTGAGGGAGTGACGTCATTCCTCTGTCCAGTGTGTTCTGTAAGTTCTTGGGCCTGGTTTTTCTGATACGGGTTTGATATGCCCATGTGTCTATGTGCTCATGATTCAGTTTGATAAGTTCATAGGTAGTAATCTCTTATTTGCATACATAAGTTATTTATCAGTTTGCCTCATGGTTTGTGCTGGACAGATGGTGGTCGTTTATTTGCACAAACAAGATGTAGTCATTCCACCTCAGTACAGTCTGAAAGCCACGGTGCTATACAAAATAGAGTGAAGAGCAGGGCACAGCCTGACCTCCACGTTCCACCTTACAAGGACCCTTGTGCTTACATGGCCCCATCCAGATAATCACAGCAATCTCCCTGCCTCAAGAACCTCAACTCAGTCACACCTGTCAAGTCACTTTCGCCAACTACGTAAAGATATGCATTCACAGGTTCCGTGCATTAGGATGGCCATCCTCTGGGGTGCATCACACAGTCCACTGAAGTGCTGTCTCAGCCCCAAACATTCACTCACTCCCCACAAGAAAAATGCATTCAGCCCATCTCAAGGTCCCCCATGGCCTCCACTGAGCACCAACACAAGTCCAAATTTCACAAGTTTTACATCTCATCATCAAAACCATCTAAAGTACGTAGATCTGGATGAGGCTTTAGTTGAATAAGATCCAGGATGGAAACCTCCCCTTGGCAATAGGCTGTCCTTGAGAAGGGGCTAATCCACTGCCTTCCCGGGCCTCAGCCACCTCCCAGATACCACCGAGCCTGAGTCCTCCAGCCGGCCTAGAGCGTCCCGGAAGTGGCTGGGGGAAGACGACCAGGCGCGGACCAGCGGAGAGCAGCGCGGCCGGCACTTCCGGCCGGTGGCGGCGCCTCCGGATCCGCAGGTGAGTGGGGCCAGGGCTGCGGGGCAGGGGCGCGGCCGGGGCGGGGTGGGCGGAGCCGCGACGTCTCCCGCTGGCCGTCTGGCTGCGTTAGTGGGTCCGCCTTTGCTGCCGCCGCGTCCGCGACCCCCGAAACTTGCCTGCGCTGCGCCCCCGCGCTCGCAAGTCGGACTTGCCCCCATCAGGGCGGCCCAACTAGGCCTTCCCTGCGCGCGCTTTCCCCGGGCGTCGTCGCCAGGACCTGCCCCGGAGGCCGGGCGGAGGCCTCGGCTTTCTCGTTTCCCACGCCCAGCGCGGATCTCCCACCGAGCACGGCCCAGGGTGGAGCCGCTTTCTCGACCAGCCTCGCTGGACTCCCTCACCCGGAGCAGGGGTCCACTCGCCGCCCCGGGCTTGCAGGCGCGCTCCCTGCACGCTCCCCCTGCCGTTTGTGTCCCCTCGGCAGGGTCGCCATCCTCCTCCCACCCAGGACCCTCGAGTTCATGCCTTGTCCATCTCCAGGGTACCTGTTTTTTGAGTCTTTCTTCTTGACGTTTACCCGCCTCTGCCCTGAAGACCACCATAGCCCCGTGGTGAGAGGGTTGTTTCTTACTGTTTCCCCACATTCCTCAGGGCTTTCTGAAGAAGTTTACTTGCCTTCGTACAGGGCAGGTCTGCATGTGGATGAGTGCCTTCTTCTTTCCCTCCTGTCCCAGCTCTGTCCCAGCTCTGTCCCCTCAGCCCACCCTGGACAGAGGAGAATGGCACTAAATCCTTGTTCACCACAGCCTTTGGTTGTCAGTGCTTCCTTTGAAGCCTCAAGGCTGAAAACCACCTGAATTTCTCCTGCCGTGCCCTGTTCCTCTTAACGCTGAAGAAGAATGTCAGAAGTAACATTGGAATTTCTTTGCATTTTGTCTCCCAAGCTGGTCAGCGTGGTTTTCAGCTATATCCTACCACCCTGCACACATCTGCATGCCAGGGACCAAGAAACATCTGTAATGGGCTCATTTGGGGTGCCACGCCTCCAGGAAGCTTGTTGGCCCCTCACAAGTTCCTGTTGGATTCCACCTCCTGTGGTTTCATACTTAAGATCCCCACAAGGGTGGATTTCAGCTTTGATATTTTTTCTGTTCCCCGTGGTGAGGTGCACACAGCACACCATGTGCTGTAGGCAGTGTGCACACCACCCTCACCCTCAGTGGTTAGAATGGGAGGCCCTAGAGCACCAGCACTGAGTTTGCAGCCCAGGAGGCTGACTCAGAGAGGGGCACTGGCTCACCCAGAGCTGGGTTGTGACAATCCTGGCATGTGTTTTTGGTGCTCTTGCTATGTCTGAATAAACATTATTTGCCTTGCATTGTGATCTTGGGTCCATTTTCATGCTGGCCTTTGCCTTTGGGTCTGTGTGTGGTTGGAAGAAGCAGGGATAAGGGTTTGACAGGGAGGTAGGAAATTGTGAGTCCTATGTGTAATTGTGGCGATAAGGTTGCTGGAGCTACTACCTCTGTTTTGTGCCCCCCACCCCAATGATACTGAAGTGGAGAGGGTGGAGGCTGCGTCATGAAGAAAGTGAGGGGCAGCAGGACCTGACAGCAAATTCTGGGCTGAGTTATTTCAGGTGAAGCTTCCATTGAGTCTAAGCAACGTTCCAGGCACGTCCATAACATTTCTGTTTTTCCTCTGCTTTCCAGTTCCTGAAGTGCTATGGGTGAGACACCATCGTGTCCCTGCTGAGAAGCCCCCTGAGCTCGTGCCAAATCTTCAGTAACCTGAAACCTGGACAGTGTTTGAGGAAGCTCTGCTGCCTTCTATGTGGAGAATGTCAAAGATTCTGCCACCTTGAGGAATCAGGCCAAAGCTGCACCTCCCCTGCAGAGGGCTGGCAGCCAACTGCATTCCTAGGAGCTGAGACCTGAGTGTGCTGGAGCCTGGACACCAAGGGGAAGCTGAGGCAAGAGACTGCTGCAGGTTGTGGGCAGAGCCAAGGAGGGACTGGGCTTGTGCCTGGGATCCCCCAGTCTGGTGGGCAGAGAGAAGAGGGAGAGACGAGGCACAGAGTAGAGTGGAGGCAGGGAAGGAAAGGCAGCAGCCCAGGCCAGGCTGCCCTCCCCATGGCCTCCAAGCAGGCTGCCATGAAGGGCCGGGGGGAAAAGCGCAAGCGGGTGGTGCTGACGCTGAAGGAGAAGATCGACATCTGCACGAGGCTGGAGCGTGGTGAGAACAGGAAGGCACTGATGCAGGAGTACAACGTGGGCATGTCCACCTTGTATGACATCAAGGCCCACAAGGCCCAGCTGCTCAGGTTCTTTGCCAACTCTGACTCCAACCAGGCGCTGGAGCAGAGGCGCACCCTACACACGCCCAAGCTGGAGCACCTGGACCGGGTGCTGTATGAGTGGTTCTTGGTGAAGCGTGCTGAGGGCGTGCCTGTGTCGGGCCCCATGCTCATTGAGAAGGCCAAGGACTTCTATGAGCAGATGCGGCTGACTGAGCCCTGTGTGTTCTCTGGAGGGTGGCTTTGGCGCTTTAAGGCCAGGCATGGTATTAAAAAGTTGGAGGCGTCCAGTGAGAAGCAGGTGGCTGACCACCAAGCAGCTGAGCAGTTCTGTGACTTCTTCAGGAGCTTGACGGCTGAGCACGGGCTATCGCCCGAGCAGGTTTACAATGCCAACGAGACAGGCCTTTTCTGGCGGTGCTTACCAAATACCAGCCCAGAGGGTGGGACAGTGCCCAGCCTCAAGCAGGGCAAGGACAGGCTGACCGTTCTGATGTGTGCCAATGCCACAGGCTCCCACAGAATCAAGCCCTTGGCTATTGGGAAGGGCGGTGGCCCTAGGGCTTTCAGAGGCATCCAGCACCTACCTGTTGCTTACAAGGCCCAGGGTAACGCCTGGGTGGACAAGGAGATTTTCTCAGACTGGTTCCATCACATCTTTGTCCCCTCGGTGAGAGAGCACTTCAGGACAATAGGTTTGCCTGAAGATAGCAAGGCCATTCTCCTGCTGGACAACTCCCGGGCCCATCCGCAGGAGTCCGAGTTGGTGTCTGATAACATCTTCACCATCTTCCTGCCTGCCAGTGTAACCTCCTTACTCCAGCCCATGGAGCAGGGCATTCGAAGGGACTTCATGAGGCACTTTATTAACCCTCCCGTCACTCTGCAGGGCTTCCACACCCGCTACAGCATGAATGACACCATCTTCAATGTGGCCTGTGCCTGGAATGCCGTGCCCAGCCAGGTTTTCAGGCGGGCCTGGAGGAAGCTGTGGCCTGCAGTTATGTTCACCACAGGCTCTTCTGAGGAGGAGGAGGAGGCAGAACAGCGCAGCACCAAGCCTCACAATAAGGCTTTCGCCCACATCCTTGAGCTTGTGAAGGAAGGCCCCTCCTGCCCAGGCAGCAGGCTTCAGAACAGCGGGGCTGAAGAGTGGGGTACAGCCAGGAAGGAGGCGGACGAGGCGCATACCGTGGTGCTGCCAGCTGAGGCTGTAGAGAACACAGAAAAGGCAGAGAAAGATGCTGGCGAGGACCCCGAGGTGGCCTGGGAGCAGGTGGCCTCATCCTTTGAGGTGGTCATGCGCTTTGCGGAGCAGCAGCCGTGCTTCACCACACAGGAGCTGGGGCAGCTGCGGGGGCTGCACTCAGTGTTCAGGAGACAGTGGCAGCTGAGGGGGCGGCATGTTGCTATCAGGGCTGTGGTCAAACTTGAGGCCCTCCAGGAGCACCCTAGTGGGTGCACAGCCCCAGCCCACTCTCCCTTGCCCTGCTCATCCACAGCAGTGACAACTGAAGGCTGTCTGCACCCACCTGGCCACTGGCGCCTGCAGCTCTTAGCGTATGCAGTTGTGGCGCGCAAATTGCTGGCTGGGCAGGACAGGCCATCAGCGTAGACACTCGAGAGGCCCCAAGAGTGTGGTGCGCACCAGTGTTTTGTGAAAGGGCCCAGCCCTGTGTGCTTTTCCTGTGTCACCTGCCACATCCTCTGAATGGGAGGAGACCTGGAAGGGTCCCCCCTCCTACCCCTTCTGCACACTGAGCCTCCCCCAGCTATGGCTGGGGCCGGCCAAGCTGATTATGCTGCTGGTGTTGACTGGCAGAGGTGTGCTGTGTTGGATAGAGGCATGTCTGTCCACGAGAAGAGAGGCCTGTGGGACACTTCCTGGCCTCCAGAGGCTCTGGAGGCTGGGCAGACTCCAAGCCTGGTTCCTGGAGGCAATTGCTAGGAGCTGCTGCTCACTTCCTGGTGGTCACGTCCCCTGCTGGTGGCTGTGTAAGCAGCACAGTGCCCTGTTGTCATGGGCCTGCTTTAGCCACAGTCATTTTCAGCAGTGTCCCTGTGGCCAGCAGGCCCCACCCTTGGTCCAGGCCAGGGGTGTGTGCAGTAGACAGTGTGGGGTGGCTTCCTGCAAAGAGCTGGAGCCCTCAAACCAGCTCCTCTCGTTGCCCCCGGGGACTGCGAGTGATGCAGGCTGTTGTCAGTGTTGCTTGGAGGCCAGCATACAATGCAGTCGTCAGGCACCCCAGAATTCCCCGGTCACACCTTTTACAGAAACTGGTCTTGAGCAGGCGTTGAGAAGTCATGGAAAACAGTGGGTCTCCAGCAGTGTTGACAGGTCAGAGATGCTCACAGGGAAGGTGTGTTGTGCTGGTTGGCTTTACAGAAGCTTGCTCTAGTAGGATGTGGTTATTTTCCCCAACCTCAGCTGATTCATAGCTTCTCATTTTCACAGCGCCGTGGCTGCCTGAGGCCCTTTGTCCACAGAGATCCTCTGCTCTTGAGTGAACATGAAATAGGTGTATTTTTCTACATCCTCCACAGCTTTGCCCTTGAACATCATTTCTGTCTTTGATTCACATCGTGGTGCCTGAATCAGCACCTAGCTTTCATTCTGGTGTTTGCCAACTACTCCATCAGGAGAACCTTGCTCCCAGGATCCCGTGCGAGCCGTGGGAACTTGTGGGGGAGTGTTTGGCTTGTATTTTTACATCTGTCCGAACACAGAGTACTATTGCCATCATAGCACCCAGTTGTAGGGATGTTCTCACTTTAAATGCATGTGTGGAGACTATAAAAAACTGATAGTTTTCAAAGACTTTGTTGATTCTTTGGACCCCTTTGGTCTGGTGTCACATTGCTGTCACGCTTCCTTCCTGTGTCCGTGTGCTTTGTACTGATTCTGGTCATGATGGAGACTGTTGACTTGTAGTGGCTTCAGGTTGGGAATCACTGTCTTGCTGGCACCATTGGATGACAGACATGGAGAGGATTTTTCCCATCTGGGAGGATGGAGTGGGGCAGGTGGAGTTCCCGACCACCCATGCAAAAGGTTTGTGCCCATCAGACTGCATCCCAGGACCAGTACTCGCTGACTCTTACAACTAGCTCCTGTCCCCATTATGTTGCTGGGTGATGTTTGGCCTCAGGGCACTCTGCCTTCTGGAACCAGCTGCAGCTTGCAGCCCTTAGGCCTGACACCACCCAGGGAGGGTTCTTTGAGGAACCAGATGCAGGCCCTGCTCTCTGCCTTTCTCTCTTCCAGAACCATTGGCAGCTTCCTAGGAGATGTGTAGGGTGCAGAGTGGGTGAGGGAACGTCAGGTGTACATGGTCTATGGGGGCCCAGGGTCCCTGCTCGTCTCCAGTCAGCAGCCCTGGTGCTAGGTGAGCATTCCTGCCTCCCTGCCTCATCTCGGCCTCCTTGCAGGGCCTGCCACTACTGCCTCAACATGCTTGCAAGTTCTTGCAGCCCAGTGTGTTTGCCTCAAAAATATTTTCTCAGATAGTCCAAGGTAGACCCACTGCAGACATTGAAACAGCTGGGGGACCACATCTCCCCTTCTATTTCCCTGTAGCTGCTGAGGCCCTCAGGAAGCCCCTGAGCTCTCCAGAGCAGTTTGATCTCTGTCCTACTTAAGTGCCTGTCCCCTTTTTCTTTTTCTTTTTTTTGTGGAAACAGGGTCTTAGTATATAGCCCAGGCTGACTTCAAACTCATAATCTTCCTAATTCTACCTCCTGAGTGCACCACCATGCCCAGCTACTTACTCTTTTTTACCTGTGAGCCAGCTGAGTCCACACTGTCTTCTCACTGCAGACAAGGCACAGCACAGCCCTGCTGGCTGGTGAGTCCTTCCGTCTCATGGTTTCCCTGACTCAGCTCCCTTCCCACTAACAGCCTTTTCTCCCCCATGTTCACCTCCCCTTCCCTTAGGCATTACTTAGGCACTTGTCAGGGATCCACCATGCTGCCTGTCAAGACCCTGCAGGCTACTTCCTAGGAGTGCTAACCCCAGTTCCTGAGGGTTAGGGTGATGGCAGGCCCCACGTCTTCAGCAGTGCCAAGGCAGGATCAGCCCCTTTGCTCCCTTCTGGTGGATCTGAGGAGTTAGCACCCACATTTGTGCTGTGTCCATTGTTGCAGCTATGCAGGGCATGAAGCTGAGCTGTAATTCAAGAGAGGAGGTGTGGGAGTCTGATGGGGAAGTCAGGGCTTCCCAGTGCAGCTTCCCTGACTCTGGACAGGCAGCTCTGCTCTGGGCGGGGGTGGGGGTCCCATGCCTGGGCGTAGTGGTTGAAGGCTAGACTCACAAGACTGTGGGTGGAAGCTTGGAACCCACTCACATGCTGGACAGGTAGGTGGTATAAGGCTCTCTGACCTTGAAGTTGGTGCTTGAGAGCTGGTCTGCACTCGCTGGACTACCTGGCCCTCTGCAGGTGGCTAGGGAAGATCATCCCGGCTGGCATCTGGCTGGAGAAGATTGATCCTAGCCCAAGAGGGCCTGGAGTGGACAGTTCCCCTCATCAGTAATGCCTGAGTGCAGGATCAGACCCACCCCGTTGTCATATTTCCACAGAAGCTCCCTTCCCAGGCAGCCAGCCAGCCTTTGTCCATGACAGACTGTGTAAGAAGACAGGAGGCTACAACCCTGTGAGTGCAGAACGGGTAGGTGGGCAGGAGGGAGGCCTTGATAGGTGAGTGGATTGGCGAGCAGGTGGGTTAGTGAGTGTGCGGATGAATGGAAAAGAAGGGAAGGAAGATGCAGTGCCTGGCATGACCTCTCCTGGTCAGTCTTACTCAGGTTGAAGGTCAGAGTGCTTTGAAGGCAGCTCAGAGCCATGGTAACCGCCATGCTTGAGGTAGGAGATGTAAGAAAAGGACAAAGGGCTTCCATTCCTGGAAGGCTGTGGAAAACCAGGACTCCTGAGGGATCCACTGGCACCTGGAAGGAGACACCCACAGGCACCACACCCGCCATTCTTGGCATGAGTGGGCTTATGTGGGGGTAGAGTGGAGGTCATAGTGTGGATAGCTGTAGGGTGGGGTCAGTCCTCTGGACTGGCTCAGTGTGGCAGCCGTGAATGGTAGGCAGAGGCTGGGTGGCAAGGCCTGGGTAGAACTTGCATGATTCTCTGCTTGCTCAGCCAGCGCCCCCTGGACTCAAGTACTCTGCCCATCAAGGGTCAGGTTCTCTGAGCTATCTTGGGCCCAGTTACCTGCTAAGGGAAGAGGAGGCTGGACCTGTGAGGCTTTGCTCCTCCTTAGCTCCTATAGACAACAGGCCTGCCTGTCACGATGGCTGTCAGCTTCCCAGATAAGGTCTGCCACCCCCACAACTTCTTTGCTCTCACTCCCCAGGTGTAGTCTTAGTTTCGCACTTCCTCTTCCACACCTGGACCTTCAGGCCCTGTACATTTCTTGTCCACTTTGCAGGAAAGTACTGTAACTTGAAGTGAAGAGATAATCCCACGTAGAGGTGAGGCTGGCCCAGGGAGGAGCAGGTGTAGCAGGACCAGGGCCACCTCCTCCCAGCACCAATCCTTCCCTGTCTTGACCTCGAGCAGGGCCCTAGATTGTGAAATGGAAAATGTACAGACACCCCTTCACCTGCTTTTTGAGGCCCCACTGTGAGACCACAAAGCCTTGTTTCAGTTCTGTGGTCGACCCGAGTCCCTGAATCTGCCCCTAGCTGGGATCTGGCCTCAAAGGCAGCTCGGCAGCCTGCATGCTGAGGTCTCAGCACCCAGAGCCAGGTCCTGGGAGGCCTGCTAGCAGTGACTGGGCTTTTCCTGGGAGAGCCTGTCAGTATGTCCTCCATACCAGACTAGCCAGAAATAGGTTACAAGGTTCCTGAGGCCTTCCATGTCTGCTCAGACAGTCCCAAGCAGGCCAGGATTGCTGGGCCTGTTTATCAGCCAGGGAAACTGAGGCCCAGAGTGGGAGTGCTTTCCCCAATACCATGCATAGCATGACCTGCTTTGGGCCGGGAGTCCTTCCCTGATCCCACCAGTATCACCCAAGCCCCTTGGGGCCTGCCTCAGTTTCCCTATTTCAGACACTTGTGGAAGGAAAGCCTGAACCCTGGAGTAGCTGTGAGGCTCATCAGAGAAGCTTCTGGGCCAAACAGACCTGGCACCCAGGCTAACTTCCCCTGCCATTGCAGCTTGGCGCCCCGTGAATTCTGAAGAGATGTAAAGTGCTGGACTTGAGTTCCTCACCCCTTTTCTTCCTGGGAGAGGGAGGGACATGGTCACATCACACACACACGCGCGTGCACACAGTACTGGTCCCCATGAAGCAGAAAAGCTGTTGCTTCAGGAGGCTGGCCATGGGATGTGGACATGGGGCCTGTGGCCACTGTCTTCATGACAAGTTCACAACTTACTGGGAGGCAGGCTTTAACGGGAAAATAACCACCATGGGACTCGCTTCTCTTAAGCAAACAGATAGCTCCATGCTAGAGACTGACTGCTCCCTCAGCACCACCCTGAGCCATCGCTAGAGCAGTAAGTCCCCTCCAAGATGTAAATGCCCTGGCAGTTACAGATCTCTTTGCAAGATAGTGCCCAAAGGGGCGCCTCTGAGCTGGGTTTGCCTGGTGCAGGGGATCTACACCCAATGTGACTTCTCAAAATCCTCTACTTAAGACCTTATGAACATTGGTCATATCTCATACATGAAGTTAAACACCTGGAAATCAGCATGAGCACATGCACGGAGTACCTGTTGTCATGTGACAAGGCTGTGCTAATTATACCTGCCAGTCACCCTAGCCCCTCCATAAGGACTGCCCAGACTTTTCCTGCCTTACAACTTAAAAACTGGTCTTTAAACAAAGAGATCAATGCTTTCAGGCCACCTGGCAGGAGCCCACTGTGCTTCCTCTTACTTTTTCAATAAAGTTTTGCTACTGTTTTGCAATCTGTGTCTCTGTTCAGTTCTCTGAAACGAAAGAACTTGAGATCTTCTGTACTAGTGTCATCTTAGACCACTCAGGCCAGTGACAAATGGGTGTGGGGAGGTGGGGCCTGGTTGGAGGAAGTCATGGAAGAGGAGTGGCGGGGCCTCTGAAGGGTGTATCTCGTTCCCAGCCTCATCCTTTTTCTCTCTGCTCCCTGGTTCCCATGAGGTGAGCAGATTTCCTTCACTGTGCCCTTCATGCCCTCCTGGCTAGGAGTCAAAAAATTTCAAACCCTGACCTCAGGAACCATCCCTTCATTGGAGCCCAAATTTGGTTGGATTCATCTAGAAAGCAACTTATGCTCAGGGCATTACTGAAAACACAGAGCAACTGAGGATGTCCAGGGAAGCAAGTCAAAGGGCCTTGCAACACTCTCAAACCATGACCGAATCGGAGATGGTATACCTGGGCTGCATCGTCCAAGGCTCCTGCAGAGGCTGCAAGGGCCAGGGGAAATCTTCCCCTGAGAATCTAGCAGCCACTAGGCAAAGTGAACAAGAGAATAGCAGTAAATCCCAGACTGAGCTGTCCAGTACCCAGAATTGCTATAGAACGTCAACTATAAAGTCCACTGTCAAGCAAAATACTGAGACCTACAAAGACACAAGAAGGTCCGACCCATACACCAGGAAAAATGATGACAGAAACTGCCAGTGAACCGGGCATGGTAGTTGGTGCACGCCTGTAATCCCAGTACCAGCGAGGCTGAGGCAGGAGGATCACAAGTTTGGGGCCAGCCTGGAATACAAAGCAAGATCCTATCTCAGAAATGAAACAAAACAAGAGAACCAAATAAAGATTCTGGAGTTGAAAAGTAAAACAACTGAAGTGAAAACTTCACCAAAGGCGCTCACAGTTTATCTGAGCTGGTGAAAGAATCAGTGCACTTGAAGATAGATCGATGGAAATTGTGCAGTTAGAAGAACAGAGAAAAAGAATGAAGAAAAATGAACAGAGTCTCAAGGGAAACATGGACACCGGTACGTGCACCAACCTACAGGTGATAGGAGTACCAGGAGGAGAGGAGAGTGAGAAAGCAGAAAAAAGGTTTAAAGAGTTAGCAGGTGTGGTGGTGCATGCCTATAATCCCAGCAATTCAGGAGGAACACAGTTTGAGGCCAGCCCAGGCACAAAAGTTCCTGAGGCTTCATCTCAATCAATAATGGTGGTATGCACCTGTCATTCAAGCTCGATAGAAAGTGTAAATAGGTGGGTTGTGGTCCAGGCCAGCCCAGGCATGAATTCAAGACCCTATTCCTAAAATACGTAAATCAAAAAGGGCTGGTGGTTTGGCTCAAGTGGTGGAGCGCCTGCCTGGCAAGTGCAAGGCCCTGAGTTGGGCCCAGTACTGCTCCCACCCAGTATATATTTAAAGACTCCATAGCAGAAGGCCTTGGGCCTGGACACCATACTGTCCTGCACGGCTGTTTGAGGACAGGGAGGCCATCCAGTCTTGGCAGAGAGAAGAAACTGGATGGGGGGCTTTGGTGGCTGTTGTCACTCCCCTATTATGGGTGGGAGCTGAGTTTAGCCGGAAAAGGCCTCTGGGAACATGTGGCTATTGGGAGGTGATGCTACGATTGGACCCAAGTCTGCGGACCTGGAGCTAGCACTTTTCTTCTGTGACTCTGGTTCTTGGTGAGGTGACACCCTGAATCAGGCAGGGTAGCAGCTGCGAAAGGGGTAGGGATGGCACAGATGTGGGGCTGTAGGGGTGAGTGGGGGCCTCTCAGCTAGTGCTCTGCCTGCTTGTCCTTGCCTGGGGCCAGATCTGCCATCGGCACACTCCATGTTCCCAATATGAATAAGACATGCTGCCTCTGTTCACAGGACAATGCTCTTTAATAAAGGGTTTTCTGTTTGATCTGCAAGGCCTGAGTACGGGGCTCCCTGTTCAGTGCCCTTAGCCTCAGGCTTCCTTAGAAGCAGGTCACAGTAAGGCCCAGGTCTGTTGGACTGTGGTCTTCTGCACTTGGGCAGGCTCTAGGGGCACCAGGCTGGCCTTCATGGGTGCCCCGAGTGGACAGAGGCAGTGTGGGGTGGGAAGACAGGTACTAGGAGACCCTCTCCTGGTGCAAGCCACTTGCCACTATCTCCGCACAGACATGAGGTCAGTAATAGTTGGGGCATGGCAGGAAACCCCTGACCCCCTTCCCCGTGATGTGAGAGGGAACCGGTTTCTGAGCACGTAGGTAGGTGCACATTTCTATGAATGGCTCCCTCCGCGGGGCCCTGTGTGTAGTGCTGCTCAAGTGCATGCAGCAATACATGTGTGCACATGTGTGTGCCAGGAGGACAGAGCTCACCCTCCCCCCACCCACCAGGGCCATCTGCAGTCCTGTCTCGATCTCCCCCAGGAAGACTCAGGGCCTACCAGGGTGAGCAGGCTCGTGACCACTGAAGTGGGGCAGAGCACAAACTTTGTGGTCCCTTTTCTCTTTTTTTTTTTTTGGTGGAACTTATAGAAGAAAATCTGAGAACCCCCAAAACTCCCTTGAAGCCTTGGGCAGTCTGGCCCCCAGACACAGCTCTATCTTGCAACCAGCCTCATCTGACCACCTCTTTCCCCCCCCACCTGCCTGGGAAACCTCTGCTGTCGTCTCTGCCTGTCCCCAGTGGGCACTCAGGAAATACTGCTGGACCAAGGCTCTTGCAACCCCTGGGCTGGGTCCCTACAGGCTCCACCCTGGCTGCCTGTCACCTGCACTGTGTGCCGGCCACATGCCAGGCTCCACACTATGGTGTGGTGGCCATGCAGTTCACACTTCATTAAGTGCCTCCTCTCACAGTAGGGGAAGCCAGGCCCCATCAGCCACTGCACTGTGATCAAGCGCTCTGGGCCTTTCTTATTGATTGGATTTTATTTCCTGGCATTAAATGGCACTGTGGACTGACAGGCCTGGCTTCCTGGCTATAAATGGGATCAAAATGTTATTGTGAGTCCTTTAAAAGTTTTACAAAGGACGTGCCTGTCACATATATGTAGTGTTTAATCCTGTGCCAACCTCTGCAGGCTTCCAATGTCCTCTCTGTCCCCCTCCCTTCTCAGTGGCCTCTTAGAGCATCCCCACTTGCCAGGCCCCCTTCCCAGGCCCTCTCACCCCACCCCCCATGGACCTGGGGCTGGGCTGGGATTGACATTGTAGCAGTAACTCTACAACCCAGGAGTGTGGCTCAGGCACAAAGGAAAGCTGGTCAGATGGCACATCTGTGAAGTATGTCAATCAGGCAAAGTCACGGAGACAGTAAGTGGAGTGGAAGCTGCCAGGGCTGGCGGGTGGGGGCTTTGTGTTGAAGGGGTCAGAGCTCCTGTTGTAGAAATAGGTGGTGGGAGGACTGCTCAGCACTGACTGCAATGAGGACCATCAACTGTCCGCTTGCAATGGCTAAAACGGTGCCTTATCTTATGGATGGCTTTAACAGCCAAACATAAGCATTGGATAACGAATAACGAGTAGGTCCTGGTGACCCTGGAATGATGACAGGGAAACCTCAGAGAAGAGGCTGGAGCCACCAAGAATCCAGCAACACAGCAGAACCCCACAGGGACAAAAGGAGTTGGTGAGGTCACCTGAGCCCAAGGCTGAATCATCCAGTAGAAACTGGGACCCACCACAAAGGTGCTGGGGAGGGGAGAAATATCTGCTTGTCTCTCTCTTCTGTCTCCCTGTAGCCTTACTGGCCAGAGCCCGGCCTACAGGCCTGCCTGGAAGTGCAGTGGAGGGATGGGGAATGGAGCCAGATGGGAGCGCTGACAGTCTTTGGCTAAGTCATTCCACCAGCAAACGTTTACTGTGCACTAAATTCTGCTGCCAATCCACAGAGTGGAATTAAGCCTGGAAAAAACCAGGGAGGAGCCAAGGTGTCAGATCCTGTGGAGCAGAGGCCCAGACCCATGTCCTTGACACAGTGGGAGTACAGTCTCCAGTCCACTCCAGGGAGTGGACTCCCTGCTGGGAGTCCAGCAGGCCAGGCCTGCCAATGGCTGTACCATCCAGGGGCGATTGCTCCCTCTTTTGTCTCTTTCCTCACATTTTTTGAGCACCTACTATATACAGGCCCTGGAGATGCCATCGTGAATAAACTCCTGGGCCCTGGGTCCTAGGCCAGAAGGACACAGATGAGGAGAGAGGCCTTGACCACCTGCTGTATATCTAGACTCAGGGGGAAGCAGGTATCTGCCATGAGTTCAAGGACATTGTGCCCAGCATCTGACTGGCCACAGAGATGGCCTGCGTCTGTATGTATTAGTCAGTTTTTCATTGCTCTGACAAAATACCTGACATGAGCAACGTAGAGGAAGAAAGATTTATTTTGGCTCACAGTCCATGGTTGGCTGGTTCCATTGTCTCTGGGCTGTGGCGAGGAGACGTGATGGAAGAGAACTGCTCAGATCATGGCGGCCAGAGAAGAGAGAGAGGGAGGGAGGGAAGGAAGGGGATGGAGAGAGAAAAGAGAGAGAGAGAGAGTCGATGGTCCCGGGATAAAATTTAGCTCCAAGTACACTCTCCCAGTGACCTACTGAAAGTTTCTGTCGCCTTTCAATATTACCATCAGGTTATGAATCCATCCATCCACTGATTAGGTCGGAGCCCTCCTGATCCAATCACTCCTCAATGATTGGATCTACCAGCTGGGGACCAAGATTTCAACACACAAGCTTTCGGGGCATACTTCATATCCAAAACACAACACCGCCTCCACTTTCCCAGGCGTCTGCCTCCGTATTCAGGAGGCATCTGCCCGACAGGTCTCTCTGGAAGCCAGACCACAGCCTGCAGTCAGAGAGATGGCTCTGTCTCAGTTCCACCACAGGTGTGAAGAAAATCCGAACCTGTGAGAGAAAGTGAAAAATGTACTGCAGCTCGTCCAACTCAGAGGGGTCACTCAGCGGGGCTCTGCCAGTGACCACTCCCTTACTCATTCACTTACTCACCCACACG